CTCCTATCTCCGCCTCCTCCAGGGAAGTGTTGACTACTCCCAGCCCTCAAACCACCCAGCTTTGCTGGAGCAAGGCTATGGCTACTGTCAGTGAGATCCCTGCTGCTGCACTGCAGTCAAAACAAAGATAAGGATGGAAGAGAAGCCTTGCTCCTAAGCAGCTCAAGGCCACTTGACAAGAAGCTTTGTAAACATCATCTCATGTGGCCAACACTTCAAAACCCCTGTCCCTCCCTCAAATCACTCTAGCCCTTGATCCAGTTTTAAATGAGACTTTTGGTGCCAGAAGCTTGTTAGACATCTGGTTCTACTTGACTTTGCAAGGGGGGTCGTTAGGGGTGGGAATGCAGCTACCTCAACTAAAACCAAACCCTCTGACTCAGAAACGCACATCAAATCAGATCCCATGGAAGTGCATTTCAAAACAGTAAGGGAAAGCCAGACAATGAAGATGGAGAGAGATAACCACCAAGAGAGACCCACTGCAGAGACCCTGGCCTTGCCCCCAGGCCTGGCAGGGAGCATTGCAACCCTAGAGGCAACTGGGCCACCTCCCCACTCTTACATTCTCTTTCCCCAGCCAAAAATCACCAAGTGCTCTTGACTTTTCCACCAACATGTACCTCTATCCTACCCTGTTCTCACCATGCACACCATTCTAGTCTTATCTAAGCCATTCCTGCCTCCCTCACTTCCTGGAGAGCTCTTCTGACTGGCTTCTGGTGCCAAAACACAGATCTGATGAAGACTACGCAGTGATCTTAGGATAAACACCAAAATAATTAGCAGATCCTAAAGGATTCACCTGTCTGGCCCCTGCCTACTGTTTCCCAGGTCTGGACTCCAAACTCCAGGCCCTGGCACGTGTCCTGCCATCTCTCCCCTGCCCCACACTGTGTACCTTTATCAACTCAGACTTGTTCATCCTCCAGTCTGAGCTCAGTCTCTGCAGAGTCATCCTTCAGTTTCCAGCTGCAACCTCACTCACTAAGGAAGCCCTTCATGGTATGTTTCCTTCCTTACCCTGAGTCAACCACATAATAGGTATCTTTATCCCAAACTGCAACTGAGTTGTGGGCCTTCTCTGTCAGTACTCATCATCTACCCTTTTAGAAGATGAACACTTGTTTAATGCTTATCTTCCTTACTGGACTAAAAGTGTCATAGGAAAGGGGATTTGCTGTGTTTTGTACTCCTTAACATAGTGCCTGTGAAAATGACACCCTCATTTCATTAGAGGAAATGAATGGACCAGTGAGATTTTCTCACAGGTAACCCCCAGGATGAACTCTGGGTCCCAAATCTAGTTCAGTGATAGGTGTGTGTGGTCACAGAATGTTCATCCTATTTAACATTTGGACTCTGGTCACTTGACTATTTGAGGATATTAATATAGTCTTATGCCTTTGGTAGGATCAGGACACTGCCAACTTTTGGTTGGTTATTCATATTCCATAATATTATCAGAATTGATATATGAAAAACTTACCATAGTGATAATAAAAAGAAGAGAAGAAAAAAGAGGGAGAGAGCAAGAGAGAGAAGTAAAAGGGAGGGAGAGAAAAGAAAAAGAAATAAATTACAATCCATAACTGCGTAGTGTTTTTAAATAGTGAAATTGAAACAATATTCTATACCAAGCCAGATGCCATGCAAGAAAACCTGCTTCTCAAAGTCAAGATCACATTTGAAACAAAAACAGGAAGGAAATTATTTTGAGTAGTCAGAAAAACAACAAAACCAACCCAAGGATAACAGGAGGAAAGAAATAACGTAAGAGGGGAAGAACTGAATAAAATCAGAGAGCCCTGTGGGGTGCCATGATGACAGTCTATGGTTCCTCTCCCTCTTGTCCACATTGGTCCCTAGTATCTTATGGTCTCTCATCTCTTCAGAAGTCCATCAAAAGGACCTAAAACCACTGACTGCAGGGAAAATTTGTTGACATCAGGGGAAAAGGACATCAAAAGAAAATAGAGATCTATGTTAAGACCCAACAATAAACTTCCAGTTGATAAGATGTCAAGCTGCTAAGAAGGTGGACCTGTTATCAGACTGCAAGCATGTATCAGCAAGGTCACAGCCCCCATGTCATAGGTTCTGGGGCTTAACCCCAATGGATCAAGAAGGCAACAAATGCATTCACTGAGTCAGTTCTATAAGGGAAAAGAAAAGGAAGCTAGTATTTACCAAACTGCCATCTGTAAGCACTGTGCTAGGAACTTCATGCATGTTTCATTTCATATGTGCACTAGCTCTAAGTACAAGACAGAAATAGTACTATTTTGCAAATGAGGAAAACAAATGTCTGCCAGGTCTCACAACTGCTTCAGGGTCACACATCTTTCAATGCAAAGATAAGATGGGAGCCTTCGAAGCAACCTTTATTCTTGACTTTAGTCTTCATTGAAGATGCAGGAAAGCCAACTAACATGGGGACTTGGGATAAGTCTATTGGAAAGGAATTAAGAAAGACAGCCCAAGAAGATAAATCAAACCTCAAAAAGATGCAGAAGAGTGGCAGGAATGAGCTTAGGCTCCAGGTCTCCCCGTAGTCAACCCAAATGAACTTTGCCTCCCCTTCTTCTATTCTGATCCTTACTAGACACCAAATAAAATATTTCATCAAATCTAAAATGCTTACCCCAAAAAGTACCTGTCTAAAATGAGGATGCACCTTACAAAGCAAGCATCTTGAATTGGATGTCACCCAGCTAGCTATCTGCATGCAGTTGTCACTTCCCAAGCACGTAGATTTGGGTAAGTACTCAAGTTGTCATCACTTCAGCTACACTGCATGCACCATGGGTCTCCTACTTTCTAAATTTGCATCACGATTCCACAGCAAGGCATATAAATAGCTAGGGCACGATTCTGGCGTCAATAACACAAATGTTTGTGCTTGAAAACTAACTGTGATTTCATGTTCTCTTGTAAAACAAAGGAACATGCCTGGAAATCAGTGCAGGAAGCAGATCCCCATACCAGCCCTGGACTACCCGCCCTGGGTTTTCACATGAGAAATTAATCTTCAGCTGGCTCTATCATGTTACCAGGACCAAACACTCCTGCTGGTTGACTGGCTGCTCTCTTCAGGCTGCAAAGCAGTGATCTGAGATCAGGTTCAGACCAACATACTGGGGGTGACCTGGAGTACTAACCTACATTGTGATTTTTTTTTCTTTCTTACCTTCCTCTCTTTCATTTTGTGGCCCTGGGTATCCAACCCAGAGCCCTGCCTTGCTAGGCAAACGTTCTACCACTGAGCTACAACTTCATCTCCTTCTTTACTATAATTACTATTATTGTTATTATTATTACTATATCCATTGACAATATTTGAAAACTAAGAGATTTAAAATAAAAATCTGACTTACCAGCTTTTTTGAAAATAAACTCTCTGGGCCTCTTACCTACTGACACCTGGGCTGCAGCCTGGCAAGACCTAGCAAACCCAGTTGTGTCGTATCTGGACAGCACAGAACTTAATGAAGCGTGAGACAATCAGCCTGTGCCATCTTAAGGTTCTGAGCTTGCTGTGAGTTGTCACACAGCAGTAGAACACTGATACAGGAGGAGAAAGGCTTAGGATCTAGAGCATTAAGAATGTTTTTGTTTAGCAGGAAGGAAAAGAGAAGGGGAGGAGAGGGAGGAAGAAGTGGGAGAGAGAAACAAAGAGAATAGGAGTAAGAAAAGAAGGAAAACAAGGAAGGAGAAAAGAAGAAACTAACAAAGGGAAAGAGAAAGGGAGAGAGAAACAGAGGAAATGAAGGAGACAGGAAGGGAAGCTCACGCACATGCTTTGCATGAGTAGATGAAAGGGCAAAGATGCAAGCAGCTCCTGCAGGGGGGCCCCCTGCCTCCCCGGTATCTCATCCCTTCTGACCTAATCCAATACTCCCCGTTTTCCCCAGAACTCTCTCTCAGTATCTCCTGAAGCCCCCAACTCACCTAAGCATATTTAAACAATCATAGATTCTCAAAATTATCTTGTAACTAATAGAGTTTCTACCTTTTTTAAATGCCTATTTACACTTCCACATATGAGCTTTAATTCTTGACTGAGTCAGTATCCATCTTGGCCACCACAGTCACTGCACTAAGGTGACCAGCTGTAATTGGAAAGCCTGAATTCCATAACTCTCAGTTGTTTCAGTTCTATGAGGTGAGATGTGATGGGCTCTCCTCAGCTTCCCATCCCAGGGAAACTCAACGGGTGAGGTGAGTTCACAGGCTTTTAGAAGGTTTGGCACTTGATGACCCAATCTTGCCATCCATGAGCCACAGAACAGTTCTCTGAACCCAAGGTCAATACGGAAGACAGCCAGAGAGAGAGAGAGAGAGAAACAAAGAATGAGCAGCCTGTGGTGTCCAGCAGCCTCCAGAAGCCTATTCTTACCACAGCCCAGTTTAAAGACACACATTACAGTACAGCACTTCATCCATTCACCAAGCTGGGATTAACATCTCAGGTCAAAGCCATTTTGGACACACAGACCATTACGATGTCATCACAAAAACAGACTTACTGACCAGGCATAACTGGACACCTGAGGAAGGCACACTCCATGATCATTGGCTCTGTTGCTTTGGGCAGAAGCCTGTGGTAAGGAAAACCCCCTCATCTCATGACCAGAAGCTGGAAAGAACAAGGAGACCTTGGGCTACAATCCCCTATCAGGACATGACCCTAAAGACCTCCCACAGCCTCCCACCTCTTTAACTTCCCGCAGCCCCTAATAGCACCCTCTGGGGACCAAGCCTTAAACAGATGAGCCTTTGGTGGGCACCGAAGACCAAACTTTAGCAGCTTCCAAGACTAAGAACCTGGGCAAATACAAAAACAAGGTAAAATGTACTGGGAAGACTCACATCGACACTGGACCCATCAGTGAAAGATGATTTCCAGAGGCATCATCTTTGTGTCCCACTTATCTTTAGTTGTCCCCTAGTGCCCAGCAAAGTAGACAGTCAGAAGATGTGTTTGGAAGAATCAGAATCCTACCGTTTCCTGGCAGAGACCAGGAGTGCTGTTCCAATCTCTGTTATATAGGAAGGCAGAAGGAAAGGGTTCTGGCTGCCTCAGTGTCAAGTCTAACACCAGTGGCTTCCCATCTGCAGGTTCTATCTTCAAAAATCAGACTATATGTCTTTATGGTGCAGAACAGGACCAAGGCCCAGTGAATTATCTCCTTGGTGTGCTTATACCTTCTTTGGTCTCAGTCTATGGATGTGATACCAGGAGCTATCTTCCATTTACCAATGCAACCAATTAATAAAGGCTGTTTGTACATTAAAGTTTTAAAAAATCAAACCGTTCTGTATGCGCGCGCGTGCGTGTGTGTGTGTGTGTGTGTGTGTGTGTCCAGGAGATGTGCCCCTGACCTATATAGCCATATTTTAGCTGAATGCTAGTTGCTCCTGTCAGCAGGAAAAACATTAGAATATTTTAAACCATCTAAACGGAGTCTGTGTTAAGGATGTTTCTCATAGCTACAAGATAAAAAGACAGTAGTCAATAAGTGATTAAGAGAAAGTTAGCAATGGCTCTACCTTCTCCTGTCCAATGGCTCTACCTTCTCACCTTGTTCTGACCAATGAGTGTACTTAATCAAAGGCCCCTTTCCCTGCTTGTTGTCAGTCCTAAGTCTGGGAGCTTATTACTTGCAAATCACTTTCACAGCCCACTGTTGGTTCTAGGGGCCATGGTAGCCACTGGCACCATTTATTTAAACTAACAATTAAGAGATACCATGAGTCCTCTGGCTGAAACAATTTGAAGGTAGAAGAATTATCACAAGAAATCACAGCCTTTGAGGCCTAAAAATTATGTAGCCTCTTTCCTCAAAGGAAAGTGGAGTCATACTGTCCTTACAGATTACTCCATTTCTATGAGGTACAAACTCCAGCATCATAGATAGCTAAAGGGAAATGGTTCTTCCAAGCCTTGTCAACCATGCAGATTGATTGTCAGGAAGACTGAGCTTTGGTGAATTCAAGACCCAGAACATTCATGAATCTTCCCTCTCAGTCAGAAGGATTGCTTTCTCCCTTGAATTCAGAAAGAGTTCCTGCAAGATAAATAGATGCATACCCTCTGTGCAATATTTTATACAGGTACATGATTTGGGAAATTAGGTCAGAGGAGGGAGGGAAAATGGTGATTCATTACCAGGACTGCATAGAGACAGGATTACCTCATCAGAAATTCAAAGGTAATCAGTTTTCCCCAATTGTCATGGCAATGAATCACCATTGTTAATAAATTGGGAAGTCAGTTACACCTTTGAGTAACTGGATAAACCAGAGTTGCCTGGCATCTGTCTTCATTAGAAAAGAGCCAATGAAATGTGGATGGAGAGGAGGACACCGGATGAACCCAATTCCCATCCTCACCTGAAGGTGAAGAAACTTGACTTTCTCCTTAGCATCATCATGTCAAGTCACGCAAAGCAAAATTTACACAGGTACAACTTAAAGCTGAATTTACCCATCCAAGATCCGGTATAGTCTCCTGATGAAAAAAAATCAAAGGCAGCAGCAATTTATTCATTTAATGAAGGAACAATGACAGGAAATAATTTCTGAACATCACTCAGCACAGGCAGAGGTCTTTATTAGAATAGATTTTTCTCCCCACCCCCAAGCAAATGGAAACCAGAAATGGAGTCCTCCATCCCCCCTCCTCCACCTTCCCACCTCTCTCTGTCCTGATGGTTTGGTCTCAGCACCAGTCACATCAGAAAATCCAAGCCCAGTGGGTGAAAAAAAGCAGTCAAGTTCAGAGTTTTCTGTGGCATTTTATGACTCAATGAGGCAGCAGTCGGACCTCCAGCTCCAGGGGATAAATCAGCTCATGCTCCATCTGCCTTCAGGACAGACAAATCTTTGGTCATGGAGTCGTCAATAATCCAAACATAACTTGGAATGTGGTTATAACTCTTTATTACTTTTAGGACCTCCTGAAAAAAACTAAGACGAATTCTGATCTATCTGATATGATAATGGCATTTGACAAGTTCCTATTTATTCAAGAGGTGGGGGATAAAAATGTTCATGTCTGATCATTGTGTCAAAATCCTGCAAGTCATTTTCATTTCTCTCTCTTGGACAAGATTTAAAAGCAAAGCCCGATGCATTCTGTCATATGATCCTGGTGCTGAGAGTTCGAAACATTTCAACAGTAACTTAATACAAGGGATTTAAGAAGCATGCTTATAAGAGAGGAGAGGGAATATAAGAGAGGAAGAGAGGCAGACAGAGATAGAAATAGAGAAAAAAATGAGCCCTGGATGAGGAGGAGATTACCTGATAGGAGACAAGATGAATAGTTAACCTGTTACTGCTGAGTGTCTCATTTCCCCCTGGGGAGGAGAGCTGTGTTTGACATCTTCCACAGCCTCACAGCACAGGACGAGGAGGCCAGCTGGAGGGCCCACATGCCAGCCCTCCTCTGGCTACTGCCCCCACAGGCACACCACAGGGATGGGCTCTCACAAGTTTCTCCTGCTGGAAAAGGCTCAAGGTAAATGCATTACTTATTCAGGTGCAATCTTCAACAACAGGTCAGGGAGGTACAATTTCTGTTCTCTATGGCAACTATGATGCTAGCCCTCTCCCCCAATCTTTCTCCTAGTGCACTGACACGCACATTCATGCAGATGTCTTCCAGTCTTCCACTTTCAGGGTCACTGCCCATTCTACTTCCTGAGATCTTCCCTCCCTTCTACCTCACACCAAAACTTGAGAGTGTCTGGGAGGCTGTAGGGTGACAGATCATTCCAGCTTATTTCCTCTACCTTAAAGCCACTCTCACAAGAGCTCTAAGAGGTGTATGTAACTTAGGAGTTGCATTGTAGAAAGAGAGAACTGAGGCAGAGACTAAGTAGCCAGGCTTTCAGGCAGCAAGCCTAGGCCCCCAAACCATACTTGGCCATTAAGAAAAGCTTATATCCAAGTCAAAAGAAGCCAAAAGACATAATACTTCTATCAAATATTCTTCCATCACTCTATCAGAAGTTATAAAGCCTATCTAAAAACCTTACTATTTATCTGAGAGTTAAGACACATGGGCGCGCGCACACACACACACACACACACACACACACACACACACACGTGCACAAGCCTCAGGCTCTTTTTTCTCTTTCCCTGTATTTCTGTTTCACATTGGAAAAAGATTGCTGTTGTCTAACCTGCTGCCAGACATTATTCCACTCACCATTGTATTGTCTCTGATGAGAAAATCATGACTGGGCAGTATTTAAAAATGTGTGAGTGGCGCGTGACTGGAGTGAGATACAGAATTTTAACACAGAAAATGCTGATTCTCTCTGCAGAGACAAGACTCAGGACACTTAACAGTAAACTTACTCACCTTTCATGTTAAGACTTCCATATATGGGAAAATGCTTACCTGATCTTCCATTTTCTCTTCTTTAGGAGGTCTTCACCAACATTCAACATAACCAATGATTATTTTGAAATGCAGGACATTGTTTTGGGGCTTTCTGTACCCCTTCCTCCTACACATGTCTTAGGATTTTTCTGCTTTTCTCAAGGCATCATCCTCCCCAAGCTAGTGGTTCATGCTGAGGGGCCCACCCCAGGTTGCAGGAAAGGAGCTCATGATTCAGCCATTCCCTCCTGTGGTAATCAATGCAGGGATGAGCTAAAGCTAAAGAGAAGTAATGGCTAGAGCTCTGGCAGCTGTCTCTGAAGCTGGGAGAGAGCTCAGCCTGAGTGAGGATGGAAAGACACAGCCAAGAGGGGAACCTGAAAAGGTCAGGTTTTGGTGACACTATTTGAGGTCTATTTGCTGTACCATGACCCCAAAAGTCTTTGGTCTACAGCTCACAGTGTTATTGGGAGACACTAAACCTTTAAAAGTAGAGCCTAATTAAGGGGAGTTAAATCACTGGGATTGTGCCTTTGAAGGGAATATGAGACCTCCATCTCTCCCATCCCTTTCTTTCTCTCCTATTCTTCCAGCCACCATGAAATGAGCAGCATCCTGCATCAGGCAGTTCTACCATGATGTACTGTGCTGCAACAAAACCAAGTTACCATGGACCAAACTCTCTAAAACAGTGAATCAAATTAAAATTGCCCTTTGAAGTTGATTATCTCAGTTATTTGCCCCAATCACAGAAAACTGACTAACACATGCAGCAACCGTCATAGCTTTATTCTTCAAATGAGTGAGCCATTGCAGGGTGTGGTGGCATTAACTTGTAGTCCTAGCACCCAGGAGGCTGAGGCAGGTGAATCACAATGTCAAAGTTAGCCTGCCATACAGAGCAAGACTTGTCAAGAAAAAAAAAAAAAAAAAAAAAACTAATAGAAAGGAAATGTAAGCTAATAAATTCCTTTTTGGCTTGATCCACACAGAGTTAGACTTTCTGTCTCTGACATAAAATTCTCAACTTCACACAGCATATTGGTCAGAAAAGCTACCACATGATAGGTATCATCCTGGAAGAAGCTCAGGCCTTTCTCAAAATTCCCATTCACTGTATCTTTCAGTGGGGACCCAAAGGACATCTTCAGTGTCTTGGTATTACCACTTAATCCCATACACTCCTTGCATGTCCAACTTCAATCCCTCAAGCAAACTTGAATGTGCCCCTGTCCATGTCCTCAGCTGTCCTCTCCATAACACCCAGTTGATTGAGACTACTGAACTTAATCCTCTCTATCAGTGAGAGAAACACCTCCTCCTCTCTGCACAATCCTGGAAAGGTACCTCAGCAAAATTGCATGAATCTTTAGTGTTTAGCAGTTCAACTTGCCATATTCTTCCTCCTCTGGACTGGCATCCACTCCCTAATGGTTAGGTCAAATTCAAACTGGAAATGTAGGTGAAAATTGTATTCTAGAGCTATCATGCATCCCCAAGGTAAGAAAGCAACAAGGTCTCTCAAGGTTATGGTGATCTGGCAAACCTTATGAAATTTTAGTAGTTAGACTAAAGCTCTCTATGTTAATTTTGTAGTAATTATGTCAAAATAGTAGTAATGCCAATGTTTCGATAAAAAGCCACAGCAAAAATCAAAAATACTGAAAATATTTATTTTGTTTACTGAAAACTAAACTAAAGATGGTTATAATAATAAGATATCAACAATTCACACCTTGTTTCAACATGG